TTTTAATATAATTTTTTTTGTCTTTAATCCTAAGCTAATAATTTTTTTATTAATATAATTATATTTTTGTAGTTCTTACGATAATGTATATGCTTATACACTTATTGTTTTGATTTTGGTTCATTAAAAGTTTGAGCATCCTTTTTAAAATAATATATTTCTGTTTTAGTTTTATTATATATATGTAGTAATAATACAGTAAATAAACAGTAAATAATATATACAAGCATAATTTAATTTCACATTAATTTTTTAACAGATCCTGTTGATATTATTAATTTAATATTTATTATAAAAAAAAACAATTGCGTTAGCAATAATATGAAGGGAATTAATTATATTAATTAATTTAATTTATCAATTCTTCGTACCAAATAATAACAGAATATAAATTTTTAATAAGTACAAAAATTAATTTAATAAATTTATTTAATATGTAAAATAATTTCCACAGCTGTTAAAAATAAATTTGGAGCTTTAACAAAAAAAAAATTTAATAACTTATAAGATATTTTATTTAAGAAAAAGTGTTAGGAATTACTATTGTTTGTAAGTTAGATGGACAATTCAATTTAGCACTTAGGAAAAATTAAAAAAAAGAACAATAATATATAAAATATTATTTAATATAAGGTATTTGAACAATTGTTTAAGCATAAGTATTTTTAGATGTTATGTTATTATAATTTGGGAAAATTCAGTATTATTTTTAAACATAAATAAATATTAATATTTACAAGCTCTCTTATCAATAAAGTAAAATAAATTATTAAAAGTAGTTTGCTCAATTTTGGTAAATATATGTATATAACATTCATTTCACATGTTCAATTCTAACAGTAACATATATATTTTCTATATAATTAAGACTCCTATACAGTACATTTTTCTAAAAATTTTATATAGATTTTGTATGGATTTTGTATGGAAAATGACACTTAAGGTTGCACAATTTTCGAAATAATTACGTTAGCTTAATCGTTCTATAACTGTAAAACAATAAATGAATAGTGTCGAATTATTTTATTATTTTTTTCTATTAAATGATAAGTCAGTTATTAGATATATTACTCCTGAATCTTTAGCAGAAAACTAAATGTAAAATTAGATATAGATTTTATAAATAATATAAATATTAAATGTTTTTAAAGTCATCAACAGTGTTTAGTAAAACAAACTTTTTGATTTTGTCGGAAATAGTGCTTGGAATATGATTCGAGTTATTTGAAAGTTCAAAAATTTTAGAATACGAATATAGGTATATATTCGAATACAAGAATTTGAGTATAGTTATGTCCAATGCGTTGTTCGAATAAATTCGAACATTAAATTGTGTAATATATTCACTGTTCGAACAAATCGAACATTTTTGAAAATTTGAAGTTTTCGATTGTAATGTTCGAATTTGAAGATACTCGAGTTTTGTAATGCTTAGATACTTTGCTTCACTTTTTGAGTACATTATTGTTCTTATGAATATTTCGCACTTAGATATAATTCTGTTGCTCCTGCGGTGTAAGGACGTCATTTATTTAAAAACTGTTATATTTTTGTTTAAAAATTGTAATTTTCTTATTTTCTAATAAAAAACAAGAAAAAAATTTAAAGAAATTAAGGAGTAGTAATGCAAGGTGTGGTCAAAAAGTAACGAAAATTTTAAAATTACGTACATAGTGTCCCATTTATCGAGTCAGACTTTTTTTTTTGTGTATTGGTTGACCTAACAGTAACATAATGTTTTAACTAGCACACATCTGCAATGGTAAGCATGTATTTAACGAACAATATGTACATTACTCGTTGTCTACACTCGCTAGAATATTATGTTCGAAAGCGAAGACTACGAAGAAAGTAAGAGTCTGTGCAAATATCTTGCTAAAATCTAGTCAGGGTGAGTGTAGATTTTTTATATGGTAAAATATCTGTTCTAGAAGCTTGTATGAAACCTTGTAACACAAACGAAAATTTTACTATGAATTTTTACTATCAAAAAACACTTTCAAGAAGGTCGACAACATTATGAAGATGACGGGAAATCTAAGTATCCCAATATGTTGATCAACATGAAAAAAAAAAATCAGGTTTTGCTTAGTGTTTGAACGGGGTTATTTAGTTAACATATCGATACGAAGGATTAGTTTTCTCAATGGAAATTGTTGGAAATGAGCCACGACCTTATCAAATTTTAAAGGTTTTTATATAAAAAATGAGTTGGCCTATTAGGGGTACTAACACATAACATACTCCTGCAAATACAACTATTTATCAATTATAAACTTATTTAAACACTACAATTAAATACTTTATAAACGCCTGTTGGTTAGTCAAAAAATAGTGACCTAAAAATTCAGTTGAGGATTAAACCAGTCAATTAATGAATAATAGTAAAAGCTATGAAGTCATTTACAGAGATATGTTAAGATAGTAAGCTATTATTAAGTGTGCAAAATATATAAAAAGTTTTTCTGAAAGGAGAAAGATTTGTCTGCATGCAAAGTGCAATAATATAAAGCTTAGCTAAGATTGATTTCATAAATTATTGCTTTGTAGGCACATAGAAGTTGAACTAAAAATACTAGATTGTATATATATAAATCTAGTACTTCCATTAATGGCCGACACCACAATGTCTGCATGTAAAGGGCGATTATATGAAGCTTACCTAAGAATAATTCCACAAATATTTACTTCAGAAATACTAGCGATTGCAACGGAACTCATGAGTGGAAAATACTAGATTATATATATAAATCTAGTACTTCCATTAATGCCCAATACCGATTGATGTACTAACTAAAAGAAAAATAAGAAATAAAAACGGTTTAAAATACTGCTTAGATTCAGTTGATGTTGACTGTAGAGAATTTAGAGGAAGCACATGATTAAACAAGCCTAAAATGCCTATATATATAACGGGGGTTCTACACATTCATATGTTATTACTAATTTTATCAATATTTTGCTATTGTGAAAATTTTATTCATTATTGTTGTATTCTTACATAAATCTGCCATTTTCTATGTCTATTTCCATGTCATCATTAAATATACTTTATGTCATATGAACTTAGTTGAGTGCTCAAACTCAAAGTTATGTCAATCTATTTTTTATAAATCATTTTTTGTTTTATTAATATTTTTTTTTTTTTTTTGTATTTTTGCTGCTTTATTACCAGTTGTCATTTTTACATTTACCTTTTGTTGTTGTTGTTGTAATTCCGAGTTACCATTTTAATGAGAACTTTGTGCCCAAATGAAATTCATAATCATTTGATTTCATCTCAGCGCAATGCACAGTTCGTCGCCGCAGACGATAGTGGTTATAACTGCGGCTGGGTATGGGTTGGGACCTGACATTGAGAACGAGACTCGAGCTGATGTTGCTAGTGACGATGCCGATGTTGAAGTTGAAGTTAATGTTGATGTCGATGCCATTGCCGATACTGATACTGATGTTGATGTTGATGTTGATTTTGTTGTTGATGTTGTCGCCAAGTTAATTTCAGATTGCAATGCAAAAATATCGCCCACTGCCTTTAAATGCCTATTTGCCTTAATAGAAAATATTGTAAAAGTATTGTTGTTGAATTTGCTGATGAAGTGATGCTGAAGTAGTGAGGGCACCGACATGGAAAAAATTATTATGCAAATTAGTAGGTGGAGCAGCTCGTATATAAATAGCAGATATAGCAAAACGGATGCGGGTGGTAAATTTCTTAAACATGTCACGTTGCTCTGCATATTGTAGCTTGTACATACACTGGCAACAGCGACAATATTGCTGATAATTTGTAACATGTTGTTATTGTTATTCTTATAAACATAGTTCTTAATGTTGTTGTTGCTATTGTCCTCGTTATTGTTCTTGTTGTTGCTGTTGTTGTTGGTTTTGTTGTGTTTGCTATTATTGTTACGGTTGTTTTGGTTGTTGATGCCATCATTTTGGTTGACATTGTAATCGCGATTGTTTTTCTTATTGTTGTTGTTGTTGTTGTTGTTGATGTTGTAGCTGGAACTGGAGCTGCTCCTGTTGGTGCTGTTGGTAATACTGTTTTCATTGCTAAACAAAATGTTTGTTGTATTTGAAGTTTTATATTTTGCGGCTTTATTTGTAGCATTTTTAGTATTTTTATTTCTTCTATCAGTGAATATAGCAGTGATTTTTTCAGTTGTTTGCTTTGCGACTGAAAATACACATTGCAAGCGTAGACATAGCACAGTTCTAGCCTGTTTCAATTTGATTTGAAGCATCCTTGCATTACTTATAGCCGCTTCAACTAAATAACTCGATAAACGCCTGAAAATCCCAAATGATTGCATTTTAATCCCATGAATTACATTGCCGAGTAGATTATGTTGCGCCAGTGCTCCTGCTGAATTGTGATAAGCGCCGGGCGGATTACGCACTGGCGTTTGATTGCTATCGACTTCGTTTTCATTCCCTGCAAATGAGTAGCAATTTTCGTATTATTTCGTATATATTTTTTTCAAAAATGCTTTCTTTTTCTATTTGGAAAATTCATTGTATTAAAGATAAATTGCAAAAATGTAGCATGGAAATATAGAAATTTACAAGTGTAAGACGAAAGAAAATTGCAAAAAAAGATATGGAAAAATCATTAAATAAAATAGAAAATTCGCATTTGATTTTTCATGAGATTTTATGGTTTTCGCTTAATGGTTTACTGCACTGATGGTTGCCAATTTATTTTCCAAAACATTATTGATTGTTGAGCTTGTGTAATGATGAGCGTAATTTAAAGTACTTAATGCAGTAGCTGATGTGGTTAATATCAGCTTACTTGAGCAAATATGTTACTACAGTTTTATTGTACGTTTCAGTTACACATAACTGTGTTTTAAATAGATAAGATTCGAGAAAAATTGGAAATTTAGCAGATGTGCTGGAAGCAAATTCAGTAATTGAAATTCTTATTAAAGAAATATGTTAAAAAATATTGCACATAAATTGATTGGAATAATTTATTTCAGTTTAATTTTTTTGAAATAAAAATTATAGGAAATTATAACTTTTAACATTGTTAAACTTATTGAAAAATTAACTATAAGTTTATCTTCCACGATTCAACTTCAACTTATTAAAACGATGTGAATAAATGTAATTGATAAGGTCAATCGTCAACCAACTGCTTGAACCTCAACAGTATGGCTTCTGACCTGTGCGACTTTTGATCAACCATATACTCCATATGCACAGTACGTCATGTGTTAGAGAAGAATCAAGAAAAACAAATTAACTTATACCATCTATTTGTCGATTTAAATGCCGCTTTGAACTTTACGATTAGAAGCAAAATTTTTTCCGGTGTGTCTGGATTTGGTAATTCAGTAAAATTTACACAGCTATTAAAATAACATTGATCAGCACCAATAGTTTCGTTAGAATCGGTAAAAACTTCTCCGTGCCGATTAATGACGAATGAAATTTAAAACAGGATAACTGATTTCGTTTGATTGTTTCAATCTAATATTAAAAACGATATTCCGAGTATTATACAAATGTTTGATGCTGTTTGCGTATGCCGATAATATTATATTCAGTTTGGAACACCCATGCTATCAGTACGGTTTATTTCAATTTAGAAAATCAAGTGAATTAAAACGGGCTTGTGTTAAATGCGGAAAAAACAAAAACTTCATGAGGAGTCTTACGAATCATGCCACTGTAGACAATTAGCGAAATTGACGTCAACGTAGAGACTTAACGGAGAATACCTCTTTCTAACAGATGTGACTTCCTGCTGAATATGCAATTAAGAAAGAAAGCCAACTTGTAACAAACAAAAATAATGCTCTACAAGCTTTTTATAATGGTTGACTTGCTGTATGGTAAAAAGCTTTATGCAATAACCAATAATACCCAGTGACGAAAAGGTATTCGGAGCATACAAATATTCGCAAGGATCATTATGGCACCATGAGTATTGGTAATGAGTATCGAATTAAATGGAACGTTGTGCTATATGACTTATACGTGGATTTGATAAAGTTAATCGAACTGGAGGAGGTTTATGCACGCTGCCAAGAATGACTAACTAAGTAAATGAATAATTAATTATATATAATTATACGAAAAATAAGCCTTTAACAATATTGATGATATTATTTAATACGTGATTCTATTTCAACCACATAGTAGTTGAAAGCATTACGAATTGATACCTACACACTTCATTTTTCAGTCAGTAGACTTATAAAAATAACTATAAGCATATTCACACGGCAAAAGTTGACAATAAGCTCGGTATGTAGATTAAATCGGCCTTTAAATGAAACTTTAACTATGGTTTTAAAAGAAAATATTGCTATTATTAAAAAACAAAGCAATTAAATACAATTTCTGATAGTAATATATTTAAAATATATTATATATAATATATATAATATGTTTCTGATAGTAATATTCTTTTCACATGGCAAAGTTTATGTTAAGGTACCTACTTTTAGATATCTTATGTTGGGATTCACTTTTGTATTCCTGCAATCAGGTTTTTGAATATGCGTTATTCGGATATTCTACTCAAATTTCGGATTGCAAATGCTCTGAAAGCAAATATCAAATATGAATGCATACTGTATATTACTTACATCAAGAGAATTGATCGATTATTTTGAAGTTATGTCCGTGATCCGAGACAAAAATATTTACAACAAATTACAGTTCAAGTCTTAATAAACCGAAATAATGTCATGTAAAATACGTGATTTAACAATCTTACCTTTTTTTATCCCGCATGAATCGTATGACCGATCTTATTTTGATAATATGTAGCATTAGATGGTTGTACTACATATGGTATATCTTATTGGTCGAAAATTTATGAAAAATCTATTATCAGACAATAAATAATGAATTATGTCTGTGGTTACACTCAAAATTCTAACTTAATGTAGAGCAATGATCAGTTGTTGACTTTCTAATCCCGAAGTTAAATTGACATTCGCACTGTGTTTCTTTAGCAACTTACTCAATCTTCTCCTAAAGATTCTGTCTGCAAACTGACTATCTATTAGATTTGGTTTAACATGTGTACTCTTTTCGTTGCATTTGATATCAGTTAATATCAATAGTTCGACTAAGTCCAACGTGACTTTCCAAGTTATGTGTAACTGATATTTTAAGGACTGCGATGCTATTTATAATTTAAACTTTACAGGGTTTACAGTTGCAACTAATATCGCTGTGATTCTAATTTATTTCGTGGTAGTAAATCAATACACTTATAACTCGTTCAAAGATATAGCATATTCCGACACAATTCTGTGATTGCTGTGCAAATACTTGCTAGGCACAAAACGATCGACGGACTATCATTGTCATATACATAAGTATACACATCCAATTTCACAGTAAATAGTAGCAAAATTATACCGGGAAATTCAGTATAGATACGCTATCCGAAAGGGATGAGTTGCTCGAAGTGTGCTTGACCGTATTTAGTTTAAAGCCGTCAACTGTGCTACTGCTGAAAGACCAATATAATGTCTTCTAATATTTTCAGAAAAAAAAGAAAAATAGAAGAATTCTCGTTTAGGAGCAAGATATGTTTCCTTAATTACCGCTGAGGAGCAGAATATCAAGAAAACCAGCATTCTCTCTTAGGAGCAAGACATTCAGCTTTTAGTAGAGTTCTCGCTTAGGAGAAAGATATTCTGCTTTTAGTAATTTCTGCTTAGGAATAAAATATTGCTATCAGTTAAAGTCTAAAGATCGACTTCAACTGATTTTATTGAAACTTGTTCTGCTTTTAACATATATAACATTTTTTTAACTTTTAGTCCCATTATAATACATTCCTTTGCTTAACATAACATCCTTAATGTAGTATTCTTATAATTAATATTACTTTATAGGACACACTACACCAATATAAATAAGTATTTCTATTTGCTCAATCATTCCTTGTAGGTAATGGGTCTTTACCCACTAAGAAAAAAATTAATGAATTGATGGATGAAAGAGAATTTACAACAAAATGTAAGAAAAAAATAACAAAGAGGATCATTATTTTGAACAGAAAATATAAATGGATTAATAATACAAGAACTATTACTTGATTTACTCTGTTTACAACAAAAAGTTATGGGATTATTGTACAATATAAATATTACGCCATGGAAACCTTTACGGTACGACACGATTAAACTATTAATACATTATGGTCTGAAATATTTTAAACGATGTCTGTAACTTGTATCGTTATAATATAATATACGTGTTTGTTATGGATTCCATATATATGTTCCTAAATTCTATATAGTAAATGTATAAATAAGTCAAAATATTTAGTTATACAAATTGCTGTTATTTAACATTTATTTATTTAATTTAATTTATTTGCTATAAAGGCCATTCAATTATTCTACAAACTAAAAGTCTATTCTCCTGAAACTGAATACTATGATGCTAACATATGTCCCCATACAAAATTCAGTACTTAATAATTTATTAGGTCTTAAGCTTTAGAAGGAAATCAGTCATTATTTCCCAAAGAAGCTAACAAAAACAAGAAGAAAAGCAATCATTCCAGCAATTTATTTTCCAAACAATATTTACTGGTTAAGCGAATCCCCTTTCAAGCTGCTAAGCAAATGCAAACATTTGCCAGATACATTCACCACATCCAAACAGACACAAAGACGCATAAAGACCTCATACCGTACACTTACGTACGAGTACAATGTCAATTTGAGTTATGAGTCCACATATATTTGGCTTATTGCTACTACTCGGTGGCTCCACTCTTGCCGGTGCTCTTCTGGCAGTGCGTGGCCTCACTTATCTTTCATGTCAAACATTTTTATTGGACATGCTTAAGTGTGCATCAAGCACTTTTATGGCCATTCCAAAAAAAAAGAAACACAATTACTTGACAATATATCACGGCTACATGCAAAGTGGAGCTACGTAAGAGTGTGTCCATAGTAGAGATTGAATATGTGTCAAAATGGTTTGGCGTGTGTGACCATACGTTTCATATGCAACTTATAGTAACAGTGGAACAATTCATTTCTCTAGGAAAAAAATTAAGATATATTATAAACGAAAGAGATTCTTATTGAACAACAATATTTCCAGCAACAATTACATATTTATCTGATCATATCAATGATAACGTATGTATCTGGTTTTTTAATTTTCGAAAAGAGAAAATCCGGAAGATAATGTGAAATTCAGTATTGTTGTCTTTTAAGTGAATAGGTAGTGTTGGCTGTCCAAGACCACGTAAAGACCTGATGACTTTGTTGCAATGTTAGATTAATGTTCTTAAAGACAGGTGCTGACAGTACACTTTACTTAAAATATTTGTACGGTTTGCGAATTTTACAAAATAGTTTGCTTAAATATTAGAGATGAAACTCAGTCTCTCTGATCTGGTATCTC